CATGCTTGTGGAATGTGAAGAGGATTTTAAATGCTCCTTGATGATGATTAAAGACGATAACTTTCATTGTAAATTACACTTCAACATAAAAGAAAGCAAAAATCTTCACACTATGCCTATAAATAACATCATGTTAAATGGAGATAAGATTGATGTTGCTGAGCATTTGACTTGGGTCAACAATCAGAGCTCATCAAATGAGCAGTCAAGAAATCAAACAATGTATTGTGTCGGGAAAATATGCTGCAAAAAAACTCCTTTAAAGTGTCTAAAACCAAAGCTAGTACTTTGAGGATTATGGCATATCATAGTATTTTCCCTTGCCTCATATAGCTGGCAATGAATAAGAAAGACTGGAGAAGAACTGATACCTTTGAAATGTTGTGTTGATAAAGAATAATGAATATACCATAGAATGCCAGAAGAATTAACAAATTTGTTTTTTAATAATGTAGCCAGAAGACTCCTTGGGATTGATGATGATGAGACTTCATCTCACATGCTTTGCGCATGTTATTAAGAGGGGCCAGTTGAAGAGACATAAAGCTGGTTAAAGTAGAGGGTAAATGAAAAAGAGAAAAACTCTAGTAGAGATGGCTTGACAACAGTGACTGCACCAATGAGCTCAAACATAGCAATGATTGTGGATTGCACAGGATGAAACCATTTTATTCTGTTGGATATAGGATAAATATGAACCAGAACCAACCTGATGGCACCTAATAGCAATATTAGCAACATGAATTTGTTATGTTTATTGACACCCAGTCTACTCAGACAAGGGAGCTCTGGTGACTTAGTGGACAAGGAGTTGTGCTGTTACCCTAAAGGTGCCTGGTTCACATCCACCAGCTTCCCCACAGAAGAAAGATGCACAATCTCCTCCTGTGCAATTATAACCTCTGAAAACCCACTAGAGAGTCAGCTATGAGTAAGTTACAATTCCAAGGCATAGCAATAAAAATTCAGACTAAGGGTCCACCCTTTGCAATATAGTACCCTAAAGAATTTCTGAGACATTCATCATCAATACAGTCAAGTCAGAACCAACTTATAGGTGACCCTCCAGTAGGTTTTCAGAGGCTGTAAATCCCATGGGAAGAGATGCCCATCTTTCTACCAAGGAACAGCTAGTGATTTTGAACTGCCTGCCCTTGGGCTGGCAAGACTAAACCTTACCCAATTAAGCAACCAGAGCTCCATGTAAGACGTTGATATGTACTATCATATTGGAACCAATTCATAGTTGATCTTCCAGTGGATTTCCAGAGGTGGTGAATCACATGGGATAAGATTGCTCATCTTTGTCCCTCAGACACTTCTAGATTCAAACCAATACCTTCACGCTGGCAGTGCAACTGCTTACCACTAGGCCACCAGGCTCACTGTAAGGTGGTACTTCTGGTAAGTGCTGTCAAGTCTTGTACAACTCATAGAGTGATTATGAACAGCATATCTATCTGAACCCAAACATAACCTGTACCATCTGCAAAATCTCTGACATACTTGAGCCCATTACTGAAGTCACTGTGTTAATCCACTTGGTTAAGAATCTTCATCTCTTTTCACCAACCCTCAATCTTTCCAAGTGTAATGTAATGTCCCTCTCCAAGGAATACTCTCTCCTAGAAACATGCCCCAAGTATGTGAGACAAAATTTTGTTCTCTTTCCCTCCAAGGAATACTCTGACTGCACCCTCTCTAAGACATATCTGATTGTTCCTTTAGCAGTGCATGGGATATTGAGTTCTCTTCTCCAACACCACAGCTCAAAGGCATCAACTCTTTTCCTGTCATCTTTATTTATTATCCCCTCTCTCAGCTGTCTAGCAAGTGACTGAAAAAATCATGTTCTCAATCAGGTGCCACTTAGTCCTCAAACTAACATCATTGCTTCTCAGTAATTAGGAGAGGTCCCTGACTGCGAATTTCCCAATTCAATATGTATCTTGCTCTCCAGACTGCTGGTACCAAGGGTGTGGTTTATGAATCCAAGTAAGATGAAGTAATTGACAATCTCAAACATCTATCATGATGTTGCCTATTGGTCCAGTGGTGACAATCTTAGTTTTCTTGATGTTGAGATGCAATCCACATTGAAGGTTGTAGTCTTTAATCCTCTGCAACAAGCACACCAACGCCTCCTCACTTGCCTCCTCACTTTCAGAAAACAAGTTTGTGTCATCTGCATACCATGGGTGTAAGGCATTAAGTAGGTACAATTTGTTATTCAGCAAGACAATGCCATGATTCACCTTAAGTATGAACAAAACAAAATAGTTATTGTTGTTATATGTAATTGAACCAACTATAGTCAGGTTGGTGTTGTTATATGCCATTGAGTTGCCTTTGACTCACAGCAATCCTATGCACAATAGCTCTGAACTCTGCTCTATCCTGAGTCAATCTCACAGTCTCACAATCACGTTCAGATGAGTCTCCAATATATCTACCTGCATTACCCCAGTTACTGTGTCAATTCATCTCATCCAGGGTCTTGCTCTCTTGTATTGTTCCTCCACTTGTCCAAGCATGATGTCCTTCTCCAAGGACTGGTCCTTCCTGGAAACATGTCCAAAGTATGTGAGATGGAGCTTCAAAATCCTTGCCTCTAAGGAGCAACCTGTTTTCAGCCTCTCCAAGACAGACCTGTTTGTTCTCTTGGTGGTCCATGATACATGTTCAACACTCTTCTCCAGTTCCAAAACTCAAATGCATTAATTTTTCTGTCATTGTCCAGCTCTCTGATGCGTACCAAGTAATTGCAAATACATGAATTGCCCATGGCCTGAATTACGTGCACTTTAGTCTCTAGCCTGACATCATTGCCCTCCTTTACTCTAGAAAGGTCCCTGATAGAAGACTTTCCCAATGCAATTCATCTTTTGATTTTCTGACTGTTGGTGCCAAGAGTATTGATTGTGGAACTGTTGCTGTTGTCATGTGCCACTGAGTCGCCTGTGACTAATAATGACCCTATGTACACCAGCCCTAAACTCTGCTCTATCCTGTGCCAATCTCACTGTTTCCTAGCCCACTGATACACCTACCCCCATTACCCCAGCCACTGAATCAATCCATCTCACTAAGGGTCTTCCTCTCTTTCGCTGTCCCTCCACCATCCCAAGCATGACGTCTTTCTCCAAGGGCTGGTCCCTCCTTGCAACATGTCCAAAGTATGTCAGATGAAGCTTCAGAATCCTTACCTCCAAGGAGCAAGCAGCCTGGTTTAACCCTCTCTAGGATGAACCTGTTCATTTTCTTAGCAGTCCACGGTATATTCTGTATTCTTCTTCAACACCACAGCCCAAAGATATCAATTCTCCTTCTATCATCCCTGGTCATTGTCCAGCTTCTGACATATAGCAAGTGATTGCAAAGACCATGTCCTGTATCAAGCACACCTTAGTCTCCACAGTGACATAATTGCTCTTCAGTAGTTTGGAGAGGTCTTTAACAGCAGAATTTCCCATCACAATACATCTTTTCGCTTGTGTATTATATTAGTGACATTGTTCATTAATGTCCACACTCTGTTGGATCACCTTTTTTTATTTTCTACTTGTTTATTTACAAAATTCTAATATATTTTTTCAAGAATCACCTTTTCTTGCAATAGGAATAAATACAGATTTATTAAAACCTGCTGGGGGACAAGCTATGAGTCAGTTCTAACTCAACAGCACACAACAACAACAACAAGCAAATGAGAGAAATACAGAACAAAGTTTCACATTTCATGGAATTCAGCATTTCTAGAGCCTTGGAGACTGAATGAATTCCTGAAACTGTAGCCCTTAGATAGTCTTTAAATATTAAGCTTTAAACCAAAAATATCCTCTTAAAATAAACTTAAAACAACAATTAACTGGTAAAAAAAATCTTTCTGGAACATTTTACTCTTTTAACATCTGTCTGGATAAAAAGTGGATGACAACAATTCCACAGGATAGCATATGATCAAGAATGATAATAAAGAAGTTTAAGCTGCTCTAAATGAATTGGCAAAAACAATGCCCCAGAAATTGAAGGTATACCGATTGATGTATTCCAACAAGCAGACTCAATGGCAGATGACAAAAACAACAACTTCTTCATCACTTTCTTTCACTGTCTGTTTTTCTTTTTGGCAGAGAGTGAAAGGAATTTTTTTTTAATCTACTGAAGTACTCAAAGTAGAAAGCAGAAAAATACTTTTCCAAAATCTTCCACAAAGATTTCAGGTTTGAGTATTTGTTATATTGTCTGATGCTGTAGAAAGAGCACTAATTAGGAATCAGGAAAGTTAGTAAATGTGAATAAAAGTTCTAGTTTGCCAAGTCCCTCATTATACTTATTATAATTATATAGGTATATATAAAACAGAACTATTTATCAGCGATTTTCTACCTCACAAAACTGAGACAAGGTTCAAAAATTTCTAATACTGTGGAAACATGCTGACACCTCTGTTTTGACTAACATCATTTAACTTGTAATAATGTAATTGCAAATTTCTTGGAAAAAAACAAGCCAGAATTACAGTTCAGGAATGCCTAAGATTTAATTCCATCTTTTTTTTATTTATTTACTATTTCATTATTTTTTCGTGTGTACCGTCAAATCAGATCTGACAGGTACAGGAGGAGATTGTTCCTCCTTCTCCAGCAGAGCTTCTGGTGGATTTGAACTGTGCACCTCTGAGCTTGCTAATTCCGTCTTTTTAAGACCACTTTTAGGCAACTACTTACTTCTTTGGGGAGCTCTGCTGGCTTAGTGGTTGCACTGCCAACGCAAAGGCCTACAGTTCAAATCCACCAACTCTGTGGAGAAAGATGGGCAATCTCCTACCATGCAACTATCTCTGAAAACCTGTTGGATTGTCAGCTATGGGTTGGTTCCAACTTGACAGTACACCACAGAAACAATGTGCTTTTTCATTTGTCAGATACTTTTGATGTCTAGAGTACTGAAGCTCCATTAAGAGTTCACTTAACTTTAGAATCTATTTCCTTTTTTAGGCTTGTTTGCAAATTGAACCTGCTGAGAGGATATCTGCTAGTGATCTTTTGCAGCATGAATATTTCACTAGAGATGGATTTGTTGAAAAGTAAGGACTATGAGTTCATACAGATTTTTTTAGTATTTGTATTAGAAGATTTTGCTAACATGAGAAATTACTACATGGGCTAATGTTACACATCATTAAAAATCATTTTAACAAAAACTGGATATCAGGTACTGACTACACACACATATGGTATACCTATAGGTGTCACTTTGAAGATTCTAATAATAAAAGTAATAATTTCTAACATTTATTACTTGTTGATCATATCCTAGGCAATGTACTGAACTTTACATTACAAAATATCATCAGTTATCATTAAGAAGATATAAGAACATAAACAAATCAGATATGAGAATATAAAAGCAATATTTTAATTTTTTTATTCCCATTTAGATTTTATACTCAGAATGGTCTAATTTTCCTTTTTTAAAAAAAATAGATTCTCTTAAGGAGATCTGATGATATAATCGATTAAATGTTGGGCTGTTAACCTAATTAGTGGTCATCAGTTCAAAGACATCAGCAACTCAATGAGAGAATGAAGTGGTAGTCTTCAGTTAATATTTATAGCCTTGGAAACCCAATAGAGCTTCTCTATCAGTCTGGATCACCTCAAAGACAGTGAGTTTTCTGTAGTTTCTCTACAACAGGCTGTTCCTTGGAGGCAAGGATTTCAAGACTCTCTCTCACATATTTTGAGCATATTGCCAGGAGAGACCTGTCTTTGGAGAAGGAGATCATGCTTGGAAGGGTAGAGGAACAGTGCAAAAGAGGAAGACCCTGAATGAGATGGACTGGCACAGTAACGGGTAACGATGGTAGGAGTGTTAGAGACAGTGAGATTGGCTCAGGATAGAGCAGGTTTCAGACCTATTGTGCATAGAGTTTCTGTGAGCCATAGTCGACTCAACAGCACATAACAACAACAGCAACATGACCAGAATACTTGAGAGGAAGCTTGGACTTCTAATTGAATGGTTGGCAATTCAAGCTCACTAGCCACTCTGGAAGAAAATGAAGCAATCTGTTCTCATAGATGTATAACCTTGAAAATTCTATGGGCACTTCTGTTGTGTCCTTTATATAAGGCTCCTGTGAGTCAGAACAGACTTAAGAAGAGAAGGTTTAGTGTTTAGCTGTAGATTCTCTGATCTGTAAGTCTCTAGATAAAGAATCTAAACCTAGTCATTTTGTCAAATGATGGCAGCTTACATGAGACTGTAGTGATGAAACCTATACCAACCGTACTGGTCACCCACAGTGGACAGATTTCAGTGGAGCTTCCAAATTAAGGCAGACTAGGAAGAAGAGCTTGGCAATCGACGTGTAAAAAATTGGTCCATAAAAATCTTATAAACACAACATATTCATGTCTGAAATATTGTGAGAAAATGAGCACCTCAGGTTAGAAGGCACTCAGAATATGACTAGGAGAAGAACTGCCTTCTTTAAGTATGGTCCACCTTAATGCTATGGATGGAGTAGATTTGGTAGCTTCATTTAATGATGTGTCATGCACAATTCAAAATGAGGTGAAATCGTTACAAATATTAGTTAAAAATCAGATTGTAGAATGAATAAAATATAAATGCAGAAAAAGTATAAGTAAAAAATGAAATGGAATGTGTACATATTTATATCCTAGGCATTATAAACTGAAATTTGTTGTTGGGTGCCATCAAGTACAACTCATAACAACACTGTGAACAACAGATCTGAACCCTCTCCTATCCTGTGCCATCTTCATCATTTCTGACATATTTGAGCCAGTTACTACAGTCATCGTGTCAGTCCACAGAGGAAGACGTTTCAAGGTTCTTCTTCTCTTTTTCCAATCCCCTACCTTTCCAAGCATGATGTCCCTTTTCAAATAATACTCTCTCCTAATGACACTCCCAATGTATGTGAGATGAAGCTTTGTCATCTATGCCTGCATGGAGCACTCGGGCTGCACTTTCTACAAGCCATAGCTGTTTGTTCTTTATTTTATGTTTGTTCTTTTAATAGTCTGTAGGCCACTAAGTACTCTTCTCCAACACCATGAATCAGTGGGATCAATTCTCCTTCTATCATCTTTATTCATTGTCTAGCTTTCTTATTAATTGAAAATGATGGAAAAGACCATGGCCTGAATCAGGCACTCATTAGTTTTCAAACCGACACCATTGCTCCTCAATAATTTGAAAAGGTCTCTGACTGTAGACTTTCCCAAAGCAATGTTGTTGTTGTTGTTGTTGTTGTTATGTGGCGTCGAGTCGCCTGCGACTCATAGCGACCCTATGTACAACAGCCCTAAACTCCACTCTGTCCTGTGCCAATCGCACTGTCTCTGACACTCCCATCCCAATTATCCCAGTCACGGAATCAATCCACGTCATAGAGGGCCTTCCTCTCCTGCGCTGTCCCTCCACCCTCCCAAGCATGATGTCCCTCTCTAAGTACCGGTCTCTCCTCACATGTCCAAAGTAAGTTAGATGGAGCCTCAGAATCCTTGCCTCCAAGGAGCCACCCGGTTTAACCCCTTCCAGGACAAATCTGTTTGTTTTCCTAGCAGTCCATGTAGGGACAACACTGACACTAAAGTTAACTCCACAATAAGGGATATACCTTTAACTTGCTGGTCTGTCTAATACTTCTCTAAATCTGAACATTCACATTGAGACAGACTAGGAAGAAGGATTGGCCATCCACTTCTTCCTTCTTCCTTCCCAAAGCAATAGATCTCCTAATCTGACTGCTGGTACCAAGGGTGTTGATTGTGAATCCAATCTTTTATCTAGCTATCATGATGTTGCCTATCAGGTGAGAGTTTTTATTTTCTTGATGTTGAGATGTAATCTATATTGAAGGTTGTTTGATTTTCTGCAGCAAGCACTTCAAGTCTTCCACACTTTCCGCAAGTAAGGTTGTATCATGCAGATTATTGATAAGCCTTCCTCCAATCTTGATATTGAATTCTTCTTCCTTTCCATATTGCTTCCTCTGATCCTAATACCACAAGTCCAGTTTCTCAAATGGTTTGCTCAGCATACAGATTGAATAGGTATAGAGAAAGTATACAATGCCGACACACACCTTTCTTAATTTAAAACCATGCAGCATTCCCTTGTATTTCGTGGAAACCAAACTCTCAATTTCTTCATCTTTTACTTTAATAGTTGATGTATATATTTGAATAACAGATATGTTTTTGTATAAGTACATAAGAATAACAGGTATTTCTTGTATAAGTGTGGAGATTATCCTTTCACTGACAGCACTGTACTTCATGATAGATCTTGTAATACTCTTTTCATTATGAACATAACACCATTCCTCTTCATTTTCTCATTTCTGACATAGTACATCCTATGATTGTCTCTAAAAATAGTAAATAGCAGTCCATCTGAGCCATTAATGCCTTAGATGTTGATATTTATTTGTTCAAATTTTATTTTTTACAACTTCCAATTTTCCTACTTTATATATTCGACTTCATATATTCATATTTTTTATAATTATATATTCTGCCTTCCAATTATTAATGGATATTTGTAGCTATTCTTCTTTTGAATCTTGCCATATCAACAAATGAAGGTCCTTCACTGAATTAAAGCTTTTTCCCCTCCACATCATGAAGGTAGACTCTATTTTGAAGAGTCAGCTCTTCTCCAGTGGCATTTTTAATGCCTTCCAACTTTAGAGGTTTATCATCTTGAATTATATCTATCCAACAGTGTTTTTACAATTATTGATAGGGTTTTTGAAGGTCTGTTATTTAAGAAGTGGATGGCTAGCCCTGCTTCTATGAGAAAGAACATAGCATCAAGGGTGAGGAAAGACTCATCAACATCCTGTGCTGTGCAGATGAAATAGCCTTGCTTGAGAAAAATAAAGAAGGCTTGAATAATTTACTGATGAAACACCAAGATAACATTCCACTCAATATGAATTACATCTTAATTTAAAGAAAACAAAAATCCTTGTAACTGGACTGCTAAGCAACATAATAAGTGGAGAGAGGACTGAAGCTGTCAAGAATTTAATTTTATGTGAATTCGCAGTTGACGTCCATGAAAAACAGCAGTCAAGGAATCAAAGATACTGGCATATTGCTTTTGACAAATCTACTGTGAAAGATCTCTTTAGGCATAAAAGAGCAAAGATGTCACTTTGAGATGGAAAATGTGCTTTACCCAAGCTACAGTATTTTTCGATCACCTCATATGCATGCAAAAGCTAAACAGTGAGTGAGAACAACTGAAAAAGAGAGTTTTTGAACTATGATGTTAGCAAAGAATATTGAATAGATCATAGTATTTAAAAAAACAACATTAGCAAAGAATATTGACTAGTAGATCATACTACTCAAAATAACAAACTTCTGATAGGTAGGCAGAATGCTCCTTGGAAGTAAGGATAGTGAGATTTTGTTTTATGTGCTTTGAACTTGTCATTAGAAAGGACCCATCTCTGGATAAGGATTTTATGTTAGATAAAAAATAAAAGAAAGTAAAGAAGACTTACTGCCTTTGGATTATGGTATTGGAAATGAATACATGGCAAAATAATAAATATATTTTGGAAAAAAGTATAGCCAGAATGCTACTTAAAAAAAACTATGGTGAAACTTCATCTCATGTATAATAGATATATTATTATAAGGAGGGACTTCTCCCTGGATAAGATGTCATGCTAAGTAAAAAACAGGGTCAAGGGAAAGGAGAAGACCCTCAGTGAGATGAATTGAGGCAGTGGCTGCAACAGTGCCAAGTACCAGCAATGTTTTGTTCTGCTGTAAACAGGGTAACTGTGAGTCAGAAGTGGCTTGGTAGTAACAACAGAAACTATAATTAGCACTCACTGACAAAATGGTTTTATTCTGTGTTGTAATACCTGTTTTCTTTCTCACAAAAGTGTAAGCTCCCAGAATATAGGGATCATGCTTCTTAACAAACCTTTTGTGTCTCACACTATGACATGCTCATTATACAGTTTGCATTGACAAGTTAGATTCATTAAACTTAGGTAATTTAGATTCAGTGGCATCAGGATTGGAG